AACACAATGCAAAAATGCAACTGAGTCTCTTTTCTGTTGGTCCACTTTAAAGGACTGAGTTTGGTTTGTTTAAAAAGGACTATATGTGAAAATGGCCTAATATCCTGTCGCTTCTTCTTTCCCTCTGAGTCATCATTTTACAATTTAATATAAAAAATCACAACACAGTCTTTGTTTTTAATTTATGTGTTTGGTAATTTTGTCAGATGACGCCACGATTATAAAATCTGAATTTTTGCAGCAGCAGAGCAGCATCTTGGAAATAGCTTGAAAGTTAACGGGTAGTCTTAATGGACCACATTTCAATCACTATTTCAAACTTTTTCCATTGTCTGACAACAGAAACAGAAGACTGTGTAAATGAGAACAGCTTTATTGAAAATTTGTCTATATTAAAATACTGTATATGTGAGCACAGAGCGTAGGAGAGAAGTAAACATAAAGAACTGAACCTGGCTGACGCTAGGCAGAATGCAAATAGATGCAGTTCAGCCATATACTAGGTTTTGGCCTACCCTTTTTTAACATTAGATTGGGTCCCTTAGTGATAAACTGATCCATTTTCAGAAGCAGCACAGAAATTAATACTGACACACTCATGCAGTTATAAAATCACATTCAGCTGTTCATGGACAACAGTTATAGTCCTTCAATATAGCCAACAGAATATGTAGTTAATAACCTTAAAACCTCTTCGTACTCATCCACTAAAGTGAACCTACCTCCCCTGAGCAATGTTTTTCCACTCTACAACTGTTACTACACTTATAGTGGCAATATTGTTTAGTAAAATAGTTTTACAGGACATCACTATCTCTTTCCATTGCCATTATTCAACTGAATTGAGAAGAATTGATGCTGACTGTGACTATGTTGAGAAAATATATTGAGTCATTATAACAATGAGGTCTTAAGAATGCATGTCTACATTTGTACATTTGTACATTTGTACATAGACAAACACACACACTACACTATGCTTGTTATGGCTCTCAACTTGATTTCTGTAATCTACAGCATGATGCACACAGACACATTCTACACTTCCAAACATTTCTTGCTTTTATATTTCATTGTATACTATTTTTGATCAGAAGTTTGACAGGGAATTTCTACTGCTGTAATTGGAAAATTAACTTCCAAAAAGAAAGCTCTGTATGAAATTCTGTTTCATCTGTCTGTTTTTGTCTTTATAGTACCAAGGAAATGCAAAGTATATTCTATATCACTCATATTTCTGAATTTACCAAAATCATACATCATCATAATGTATCCATGTACTCACTCCAGTGCAATCATTGATATGCTTTAGTCAATGGATAATGTTAAGTGACCTTAAATAATTCAGGTGTATCTGTCTATTCTTTTCTTGTGCAGACTGTAGTTGATATATGCATCAGTGAACATTATGTCTTCTTAAAGGCAGTTTTGTAAATCATTTTATATTATACTTTCATTCTGCATATATTTGTATGTATAGTCAAATTAAAGGAAAAACCAACATAAAGTGTCTAAGCAAGGTGTTATTCCACGACGTGCCACCAGAACAGCTTCAATGCTTTTTGACAAGAGTCTGAACTCTACTGGAAGGATGAACACCATTCTTCCAAAAGATGTTTCCTCATTTGGTGCTTTGATGATGATGGTGGAGAGCACTGTCTAACACATCGGTCCAAAATCTCCCATAGTTGTTGAACTGGTGATTGTGAAGGGAAACTACCCATGCACAGCCATTATTAGTGTTCAGGTGCTGGTTGTTCGCGGGAAAGACTAAAGTATAAATCAAACTAGAAAATTCCAGGGAAATTTTGAGTGCCATGGGGGCTACTGCCGGGATGAGTACATGATTTATTTCCAGTGTTCAAAAGTCACCCTGATCATATTCTGGTTTTGAGAAATGTCTTGATATAAAAGACTCTGATATAAAACAATGTCAGATCCCTCCATCATGTATTATGTGGGAAATATCTCATATTCTGTGTTGTTTTTTTTAAGTTCAACAACTATGGGACAACTATATCAAAAAGCATTGAAGCTGTTCTGGTGGCACGTCGTGGAACAACACCTTGCTTAGACACTTGTTGGTTTTTCCTTTAATTTGACTATACATACAACTCAAAATTTCCCTGGAATTTTCTACTTTAAGACCTAACATGCGGCTAATGTAAAGCTAGCGGAGCTTGGAGAGTTGGTTATCTGGTTGCTAGGCACGCACACACGCACACAGGTCAGGAGCTGCCGTTGCCATGGCAATGTGAAAATCTGCCCAGAATTTGGCTTCTACATGGCTTAAAACAATTGCAAATTATGAGAAAACCGTTACTTCTTTTCAAAAACCGAAAACACCGTGACAGACACTGAAGCCAGAAGTTTCTTACAGTCTCTATTTTATTCAGATATTCCTTAAAATGAGTGAGTAAGCTCAGTGCGAAGACAGAGTGAGATTCTTTTGAAAAAAAAAGACGATTACATTAGGTGTCAATGAGAGTGAGACAGGTATTGCTGCCGGACTCGGCACCCCCGTTTAAATTTTGTGCAGACCCTGCCTGTCAAAGTTGCATTTTATGAATCTCAACAACTATGTCTACATTTTCAGAAAGAATTATTTGTCTCCTTTTTACGGTTTGGCCGTGAGCTCGAGTTAAAAATAAAAATAAAGGTTATTTTTTACTGCTTCACGCACTCTAGCCAACTGACGCTGTCACTCTAACTTTGAAGAAAAAGTGATTTCCACTCCTCCTTTGAGTGCTCATAGTTTGAAAAGTTTACATGTTATGTAAAAACAGTTGCTGTGTTTTGGAGAGAGCAGAAGTTTTCCTCCGTTTTATAGTTTGAATCACATTTCTACGTGCAAGTATGAGAGAGCTGGGTGACTCAGAAAAAAGATGAAATTTTGTAGAAAAAAGGTGAAATTTTGTGGGTTTTTAAAGAAAATTCCAATGCATTCCTAATGCATTATTTATTCCCAGTATTTTGGAAATAACTTTGGGAAAAATTGGAATTTTAACACCAAAAGTCATAGCACCTCTTTCAGGATCAAGACGCACGTTTTGATGTATATATTACTGGGGTTTTCTCAAAGGTGCGGGACGAGTTACGCGCCAAAATTTGGCGGAAGAATAATAATAAGCCCGAAGGAATATTAATAGATGCCTCGGAGCTGAGCACCCGTGGCACTAACAATGCATTTCACCTGCGGCTTCTTCAGGTTCACTCTCTATAATTACAAGAGCATTCACAGGTGTGATAGAGCCATACATGTAGCTCATATGACCAGTCATCATTGCCTTCATTTTGTCATTATTCAGGTTTTCAACATTTTTGTCTAAACACTTAATCACCCTCACTCAGGAAAGAACTATAATGTAAAAGAATTCATCAGTCTTTCTATACATGTCATCTATATCTTGAAATGCCCACGTGGCTTGTATGTAGGCCAAACTAAGAACAGTCTCAAATTGGGAGTTGCTGAGTATAAGGCTGACATTAGAAATGGAAACATGGATTATGCCATGCCAGACACTACAAAGAGAAAAACCATTGGTCAGCTACTTCCCTAAAATTTATTGGCATTGAAAAAGTACACCCCGGTCCAAGAGGGGGTCATCTGATTAATCAGCTTTTAAGAAAGCAAGCATTTTGGGTTCATGAAATAAACACAATTGAACCCTATGGACTTAATGAAACACAAGATTTGAGTTCTTTTTTGTGTGGTGAACATTCTCACTTATATCTCTCTCCACAAGTTATTTGGACCCTTAGGTGAGCTGTTAAGTCCCTTGACATCCGTCCCCGTTTAATGATGTAGAGGGACAGCTGCAGGACCTACAGTCTACCTGTGTAAATAATTGGACCTTTTTTCTTGCAGTTAGTATGTATAGTCAGTTCTTATTTTTGTTAATTCTGTGTAAAACTATTTAACATTTGTAACTGTAGGATTATGATGATGGTCAAATGATGTACATATATGGACTTATCACACCTGTGTACGCTCTTATAATTATACAGAGTGAGCCCAAAGAAGCTGCAGGTGAAATGTGCTGTTCACTCTCAGTAAAAGTCTTCTCAGTGTGCGGTGGTTAAGTTTGATTTATGCCGTAGTATAAGATTCACATCATTTTCATACACATCAAACCATTCAGTGACCGGTTGTGACAGATGGATGGGAGGACTGTCATCCTGTTTCTCCACTAATTTTTCAGGTTTCTTCTTTAATTTGTTACCATCTGTATATTAGACTGAAAGTGTTGTTATTATGGACTGAGCTCCAACAGGGGATGTATAAGGGAAACACAATATTCAGTCTAGCTTGTGCTATATATCCCAGTGCCATATCTATTTTATTGAGACAGACAAAGGAGTCAGTGTCTGGTACTGAGCATGTCTGTATCATAGACAGCTACACGTTGAAACCCAAACAAATCCAACTCAACACCACCCACCTGTAACTCTAGTTCAATTAAAATTCTATTCATTTTTTCCTTGCATCATATTGGCAGAGCTACTAATAATAAATGGAACAATATTGTCAAACTATCAAAGCAGCGTTGGTGTGAATGTTGGCTCTGAAGTTCAGGCACCAACTGCCTCACTAAAGTGGCTTTTTTTTTCCTTTCCCTTTTCCTTTTTATTTTTTTTATTTTTTTGGACTCAAGTCAAGTGCTTTAAATTGAAGCGAGCCTTCGGGGCATAGATTGAGATGTATCCAGAATTTTAATGCTCCCTTTTCAATTGTTTAGTTTAGGGAGAGCTGCCAGGTTTCCCAGTATCTGTCTCTCACTTGCTCTCTGTCTCTCTCTCTGCCTCTGTCTCTCTACATCTCTCGTAACAAGCTTTCTTTTTTCTTTCATCTGTTCTGTCTTATCTTCCCTCCTCACCAACTCTCTTTCTTTCTCCATTTGTTTTCTCTTTTTTATTTGGCAAACACACAGGCACATACTTTCGCACATATAAACACTCACACACACACACTGACAGTAATCTTTGTGTGTGTGTTGCAGGAATGTAAGCTCCGCAGGTGAGGAGGCAAGACGAAGGATGCGGGAGTGTGATGGCCTGACAGATGCTCTGCTCTACGTCATCCAGACATCTCTGGGAAGCAGTGAGATCGACAGCAAGGTGTGTGTGTGTGTGTGTGTGTGAGAGAGAGAGAGAGAGAGAGAGAGAGAGAGAGAGAGAGAACCTGTAAACATTTCAGGTTGTGTTTATTTAATGTGGATGACTGTGTCAACATAAATTCATTCATGCTTTTACATGCTTTATTAAAACCACACTAGGCAAAATTATCACACAGTTAATTTGTATTTTCATATAAAATCACCATGTCAGGCTGCAAGAGAGGAAAGTGTCTCATTCCATCTTTTGTAGACAGAAAAACTCAAAATCTTCTCAGTGCACAGGAGGTGAAAAAAAAACAATGGCTCAACCTCACTCACTGCCAACAGCAGCCACAAGAAAGAAGAATTTTAGTTTTCAAGAAGCGTTCAATTCACTTCAGCTCATGTTTTATTTAGGGCAAATTAAACCCTCAAATTTAAAGTGTTGTGGCACTTCTTGCTGCCAATTTAGCTCTGCTAGTAGTCAAACTTGAGTGGCTTTATGTTCACTTTGTGTTTTTCTGTGTGAGGACATGTTCATGTTGGTGTACAGTGTATACAGCATGTGTGTTCATGACACACTATGTGTGGGCCAGTCAATACTACATTAACAGTGTTATGGATGACTGACTTCTCAAGGTCTCCCTGTCTCCCAGCCTTTCTAAATGGCCATCCTTAATCACTGTTTAACCGCCCGCCCCTCTCCACCATCTGACTGCAGTCACCAGAGGAGTGCTCAGTAACAAAGACTGATTGGCAGGTGAACCAGCAAGTGGTCACAGTTGCAGTGGTGATCACATTAGCCACATGCTCATTTTGTATTCTGTATGGCTTTTTGCCTTTTCTTCTTCTTTTTTGCTCATCTTCTTTGCACAGACATGCTCCTCCTTACACTGTTTGCTCATCTGTTGGCAGACTGATGTGATCCATCATTAAAAATACTAGAAAGTAGATCTTGAGGAGTGAACAATATATGATAAATACTGTATATATTAGCTCTACTTCACCAATACTTATTCATATATTTTAAAAAAGGTGTAGTTATAACATTGGTCTCTTAGAACAAGAAAGCAGAAATTACTAAGAAACACAAGCTTGGGTTGTTCAAATAATATTATAATGGATTATAATAGACCATCTCGTGTGCCAATGCAGTTGTATAAGCAGTTTTGTCTCCATTATTGGCCTCACAAAAATTCCCCTCACCCTCATTCTATGGATTTTTCAGGACTTGGCTCTGTCCTCTCTGCTTTTCATGTTCACACATCCAGAGAGAAATGCACAATGTCAGAGAAATATTCACCATGTGAAATGTTACAATAATGTTTTATAGCTGATTGTCCCATTGGACACATTTCTGAATCCCTTCCTAGTTGTGGGGCTGCTGTTCTGTAAGTGACACCAACCTCTGACCTTCCTGTGGAGAAGTACCATGTAATCATTTTGAAACTGAAATCAAGAACCTTTTTATTCCTTAAACCATGCAAGCGGAAAGAATAGGGTACGGAATAAGTGTGAAATAACAGACCGAAATACAAAATGTCACAGCAAATTGTAAATAAAATGCAACTTCTCCTACATCATTCTATAACAGCATGTGAATATAATTTCAGACATGACTGCAGCTCACTGGAGTGAGACATTGTTTTGTTTGTTGCGTCTCTCGAGGCTGTTCGATTACACTCCTTAGTTGCTTTTGTATAAACTAACGGTCAGACAGAGAGATTGATGATTCGTCTTTGTTAATTTCCACTCCGTTGACTCGATGACTCCCCCTTTTCAGTGATAGTAAACACACATGCGCGCACATCCAAGTACACACTTAAGAATAGACAACATGCACTGTAAGAATTGTTTCCTCTCATTCAGAAACACACGTACAAACATACTCATACAGTATGTTCCCAGGCTGGTGGGTTCATCTCTAAACTTGGTGTTTAATGGGGTGTGATACGATACATTGGGCTTGTCATTTTTCCTCATTTACCTGAATTTCTTCTAATCTCATTTGAAAGTCAGAGCTAACAAAATACAAAAGCATATTACCTATAAGATTATCTTTCTTCTCTCCTCTTTCTCTCTTTCTGTCTTCCGCTCTCTCCATCTGTCTGGCTCGTGGGTGGGGGTGGAAGGCTTGTAGTGTAAAAGTGTGAGAGTGGGTGTTTTTATTAGCATGCTTTGACTTTGACTTTGTGCTGTGTTTTCATGCGAGATGTTTCATTAAATGGCATCAAACACAAATCTCCTGCCCCAGCTTTCACACTTTATTCATTTATATCTCTTTTTTCATCTCCTCTTCCTTCTTCCCACCCTCTCTTCCTCCTTCCTCACTTCATTTTTCATCTCTCCCATCTCATTTCATCTCCAGACTGTAGAGAACTGTGTTTGCATTCTGAGGAACCTATCGTACCGCTTGGCTGCCGAGACGTCCCAGGGCCAGCAGGGGGGGTTGGAGGAGCTGGATAGCCTGCTGTGTGATGCCAACGGTCGTGATGGAGAAAGCTCGGGCTGTTGGGGCAAGAAGAAGAAGAAAAAGAAGGGAGCTGACCAGGTAATGAAGGAGAATAGATAGATGGATGGATGGATGGATGGATGGAGCAGGCGAAACTTTTACCTAGTTTTGTTTTTTGAAAAACCAACATGTATGAGTGTTGGGGCACCACATGCATCCAAAACAGCTTTAGTGAAGTGTGGTACTTTATTGGATGGATGAACACCATTCTTCTAAAATTTTTGGTGTTTAGATGAAAGTGAGAGTACTGTGTGATACAATCTCTCTCAATAGAGTTGAGATTTGGTGAATGTGAAGACCACAGTATGTGATATCACAAGATATCATATGAAAACCATTGAGTGACCCCTCATCCCCTGTATGGATGTACTGTATGTGCACTCTTTATGTTTCTCCAGTTGTTTATTAAAATTTTTACTTTCATTTTCCCTCATCTGTGTATATACACATGGGTGCAAAGAGTAAAGAGGTCAGCTTTCATGATGAAACAGGAATGAAGCATGAGTGGTTCAAGCAGCCTTGCCTTCAACAGGGACATGTGTGGTAAATAATGGAAAACAGGGATGAAAATCACAGATCACAGAGTATTGCGAAAGCTGTGTTGAAAAGGCTTCATTTATAATTTATTGGCTCATAAGCCACATTTTTTTGATAATCACATAGCACTTTTTAACCCCAACTTTTCTCATAAAAGCATCATGATTCTCTTTTTACTCCCTCCTCCATGCTGTCTATTCTTTCATGCTTTTTTCAGGCTGTGAAGATAGAGGTGGACTTTTCCCCCCTCATGTTTTCATGACATGAGATGCATACCTTACCAGCATGCAGCATTCTTAGACTAGGTTGTGAGTGTGTATGTTAGAATTGTCCATGGGCCCAATCCAAATTGATAATTGAGACCCAAATTGATATATTTTTGATCCAACAAAAATGCTCTTGTATATTTTATTTGCAATGCATGACATTCATGGATGATCATTGGCACAGTCAGAAAGAGAAAGAAAGAAATTGACAAATTGTTATTGAATTACATTTGGAAATAACCAAACCTGTCTCTGGTCAAGCCAGAAAGGGACTTGAAGCTGATCTGAAACCAAGTAATGTGTCAGAACCCATCAGGTTCATGTCAGATAACACCTGTCTTTTTGCCTTAACTGTATACATGCTCTATATAAGCCTGGATTGAGGTATAGGCAGTAAAGCATAGCTTTATACAGACAGATAGCAACTAGACTGAACTCAGAGGTATTTGCCACAAATATGAGAGTAAGGGGTAGTGGTAAAAAAAGAGAGACAAGCAGACGATGTGAGAAGAAACCAGGCAAGAGAGAGAGACGGATAGGCAAGGAGAGAAAAGACTGTAATGTAGTAATTATTTAGGTTCAGACAGCAAGGCCAAGCATAAATACTCCCAATCGACTGGAAGACATACACACATTTTCTTTCTATCAGGGGTATTCAATGGAATTCAGTTTTGGTAGATATTCAGCAGTCTCTTATATGTCTCTTATATACACTGCTCAAAAAATTAAGAGAATACTTAATCATGACAGTACAACACCAAGTCAGTTAAACTTCAGGGATATCAATCTGTCCATTTAGGAAGCACAAGTGAATGTGGATCAATTTCACCTGCTTTGGTGCAAATGAAAGTGACAACAGGTGCAATGGAGAGGCAAAAGCAAGACAATCCCCAAAAAGGGGGGTTCTCTCCTTATCCTTCCTGACTGTTTTGCCAGCATCCTTGTCACTACTGGTAGCATGAGGCAGAACCTGCAGCCCAATCAGGTTGCACAGGAAGTCCAGCTCCTCCAAGATGGCACATCCATACGTGCAGTCGCAAGGTTTGCTGTGTCTCCCAGCACAGTCTCAAGAGCATGGAGGAGATACCAGGAGACCGGCCGTTACATGAGGAAAGCTGGACAGAGCTGTAGAAGGGCATCAACCCAGCAACAGGACCAGTACCTGCTCTTTTGTGCGAGGAGGAACAGGAGGAGCACTGCCAAAGCCCTACAAAATTACCTCCACCAGGCTACTGGTGTGCATGTTCCTGACCAAACTATAAGAAACGGACTCCATGAGGGTGGCATGAGGGCCCATCATCGTCTAGTGGTACCTGTGCTAACACAGCACCGTGCAGCTCGAATGGCATTCGCCCGAGAACACCAGAATTGGCAGATCGGCCATTGGCACCCCGTTCTCTTCATAGATGAGAGCAGGTTCACACTGAGCACATGTGACAGGCATGAAGTCTGGAGTGTGTATATTTCTTTTCCTCTTTTTATTTTTTAAAGAGCTTCTAGTGTTGTAAATGGGAAACAGTGTTTAAATCCAGCTATCTCACCAGATAACTACTTTCCTGGCATTGGTAAACAGAGCAGGTGTAACCCAGCGAGTAGATCAGTTTTTCCATAGAAGAATATGTAGAGCTTAAAGCTCTGAGAATTTAGCAGTTTTAGTGTTTTACAATTCTTAACCACGCAGATACAGGATAGAAAAAAAGATATATCAGTCAAAGAGACAGTAAGGAATTCACATTTTATAATAAAAAGCTTGAAAGCTGCGTATGAAATTGTTTCTGGTACTGAAACAAATACAATTGAACATGTTTGATTTATTACTTAATTTTCAGAGAATTTTAGATACGCTAATGAAAATTATACATTCATATTTAGTATTTAGGATGTCTCTAGGCAACCAAAAGTAGAAGCAGTTGATGCCCCTTGTTGTAGTACCTCTACAGACTTCAAACTATAAGAATGCTTTGATTTTATGATCAGAGAATCTATGTATAGATAAAAACATGCACGCATGCGCACACATTCCACAGCACCTCTCTCAAGACACACACTAGCCTAGTTTACCTTGAGACAAGGCGAAGAGGAGGGGAAGCAGTAGAGCGAAAACGAGAGGGTCGATAGGGAAGAGGAAAAAATGAGAACTGGAGTGAGGAGGATGGAAATAGAATAAGTAAATAGGGAGAGAGGAGTATATGGAGAGGTAGGCAAACAAGAAAGAAAGGGAGAAACAAATCAAAAAAAGAGGTAGAGAAAGAAGCAACAAGTGAGAAAAGTGGGGCAAGATATAAATCACAAGCAGCAGAGAAAAGAGAGGAGAGACGTAGAAATAAAAGAGAAGAGAGAGATGGCTGTGGGTTCATGCTCACATAAAAGCAGTGTGGGCATGTCACTCAATAAACAAGTTCAAACATCAGGAGGAGAGGGGGAGGATGGAGGTAAAGGAAGAAGTGGGGTGTGGCGCTTTAGCTTTCCTGCTCAAAGCAAAAGTAGGAGTGAAATATTGTCTCATAGTCTCTCTTTCAAATGCGTCTCTTTTCTGTTTATGCTTTGTCCTTTCCTCTCCATCACCACTTTCCTACATAACAGGTGTACAGGGAGTGATTTACACTCTCTCACTGTCTTTGACATTTTAATAGGTTGGGGTGTATATTGTGGAGAAGTAGTTTGCTGTCAGACACACATGCAATCATTGTGACATAACACAAGCACTTAGACACGAGAATATACAGTATACTTATCCACAGATATCTTTCATGAATATTGCAGGTGTGGAATCAGATCATATGGTAAAAGCAAATGGGAAGAGTAGGAAAAATGAATGAACAGTGTTCTCTGCCCCTTCAAAACGTGTTTAAAGTGTTTTAAGAGTAACTGCTCACCCGCTTGTTTTAGCTGACCTACGGTGCTTTAAATTTTCGCCTTTCTGCAGTAATGTACAGGTGTAATCCTGAACATTGTGACATCACACATAAGCCTATGAAACTGTGCTTTTCAGCCTGGTGTTATTCCGTAAGCGAAGTACAAAGCTGTGTAAATGCAAAAAATTGTTATTATTGAAAAAGAGTTTACAATGTTCACTCAGCTATCTCATCATGACAAGGAGTTAACATAAAAAATCTGTCCCAATCTGTCTCCTATCTCCCACAGTGGGATGGTGTGGGCCCTTTTCCAGACACAGCAGAGCCTCCCAAAGGGGTTCAGATGCTGTGGCACCCTACCATCGTCAAGCCCTACCTCACCCTGCTGTCTGAATGCTCAAATCCCGACACCCTGGAGGGAGCAGCTGGGGCTCTACAGAACCTGGCCGCAGGCAGTTGGAAGGTAACAGCTTGATTTAAAAAGGTTTCCAAACTGTTTATCTTCTTATTTATCTTTTTTTTCTCCAATGTTTATTTATCAAATCTCAAATAAACAAATACAAGTAGAAATAAAGGTCTTTTTCCTGTTCCAACCCCAAATGTCATCTGAAAAGTTAAAATCTAGGTCCTGTTTAGTTCTGATAGTCGACAAGGGGGAGCAGTTTAAGTTTGAAATGAAAGAATACACACCTGAGATCGATCCTTTTACGGTAGGGTTTAAAGACAAAAATATGTCAATAGGGTTGTGAGGCAGGTTTTCCTGGACACAAAATGTCTGACTTGTAGGTAGCTGAAAAACTGGGTCCTGGATATGCTAAATTTATCTGTTAATTGAGCAATAGATGCAAAACATTTATTGATTGAGGTTTTAAAAGCATTTTGAGCCCTTATTATGCCAAGACTGTAATCAGCCATCAAGAGTGGAGTTAGCAAAGAAATGGATGGCTGCAATGGGATTATGAAGAGAGGGAGCTTAAAAAAATGTTTTTCTGAAACTGAGTTCAAATTCACAGGGATGACTGATAACTGGGTGGCCTTTTGGTATGTCTGAGGCAAGGCCAAGTGCTGCAGTCAGAATGGCATGCACTAGCATCCATAGAGATCCAGGCTGGACATTAAGGTTCCAGATGAAAATGCATCCAGTAGGACGAGCAACAAGGGTCTTGAAGAAAAGACATTGAAAGACAATGAAAAAGATAAAGAAACTCAGGCAGAAGTGTTATTTTAACAGAGTTTATTCGCCCACTGAGAGAATGATGACCATTTGGCAAAGAGCTGTTTTGCTTGGTCCAGTAAAACAGAGTTTCATCTCCGTTTGTAACTGTAAAATTGACTGAAAAGTTTAAACGATTCTAGGGTGGTTGGCAGAGAATTGGCAGGCTTAGAGAGATAAAGAAGCAAGTCATCAGCATACAATGAAACTTTATACCCCCCCGTATCGCAATAACGAACATTCATAATAACAAAGGCTGAAGGGATGTATATATTAATACAATCAAAGACATGAAACATGAACCAAAACTAAATCTTTTAGAAGTCCATAAAAAGACAACTCCAGTCTCCTCAATCAAGTGCCTTCTTTGTGTCCATAGAGAAAAGGCATTCAGACTTATAAGGTTTATATGAGTATAAGATATTAAAGACATTAAATAACCAACAAATATTTAAGAATGAGTGCTTATATTTTTATGAATCCAGTTTAATGGGGTTGGCCTTTCAGACACAGCCGGCAGACCAGTGGTGTAACTTCAGCACTTAGCCATGTGGCATTCGGCTGACCTATGGTGTAATTTCATCATTCAGTCAGTCAGTCAGTCATTCAATCCATCAGTCAGCATGGTTGCGGTCCAGCCAAAAACAGTTGAAATCCCCTCAGAGAATTAACAAGTGAGAGATAAAATCAGGGAGCAGAGAGAAACAAATGTTAAAAACGAAAACATCATCCGACGTAGGGGCATACAAATTAGCCAGAGGCACAGTCTTGCTGAAGAGTTTTCCCAAGACAATAATAAAATGCCTGCTTTTATCTGAGATAGTATTGGATGGTTAAAATGGTATAATCCCATCAGTGAGAATAGCTGTTCCCCTAGCCTTGGCCCCAAACTGAGAATGAAAAAGCTGCCCTCACCATCAATTGCCCAGACGCCACGGATCAGCATTACGCAGGCCTCTTGAGGAAAGGCCACACTCAGGATGATTTAGTCCCTTGCTATTAAAGCTAATAAAATTGAGATTACCACTCATACAGATGTATAAAGGGTCTGTAAGAACTGAAAAGGCAGCAAAGCCTCACTGTGCTTCTAACAGGGGATGAAACAAAGATAAACAATAAAACAGAATAAACAAATTGCAAAGGAAAAATGCAAGGACAGAAAGGCAAAAAATGAAACAGAGAAAAAAACGTATAACAGAACCAATGGCCATCTTAACGCTCCTCCCATGTCCCACCCTTCTATTCCACATCGTTCCCTCCCTGTTTCCAAACCACAGTAATGCTAAAAAAAAACAGCAAAATCCACTGTATTTGAAAAGTAAAGACCAAAATCAACCCTGTTATAAGGGATTTACAGGGGTCTAGAGCATGTCACCCTACAGAGCAATAAACAGTGAAAAAAAGTTTTAACAAATTCATTGTGCAATTGTTCCAAGTAGGTTGTTAAATGTAAAACAAAAAGGGATCATAGGAAATGAAAGAAAGAAAGAAACATTCCTCATATTCCAAGAACAGACCTGAAACATAAATATCATAGAAGCCAGGAGTATAATAATGAAAATATACTGTTAACCTCATTCAAAGCAAATTTACAAAGTGCTATTATGAATTATTTCTCAGGCACTGATGTTTGGAACTTAGAGTGTGTGACTGACTTTGGTGCTTTTATACTCATTTTACTTTTTACTTTTAGGTTTATTTTTTTGTGCTTTAATATGCATTTCATGGGCCATTTTTTTGTGAAAGGAAGGGATTCCACAGATAAAACAGCTTATTCACATTGTACAAAGGACAAATTACTTGTGTGTGTGTGTGTGTGTGTGTGTGTGTGTGTGTGTGTGTGTGTGTGTGTGTGTGTGTGTGTACATATACATGAATGTTTGCATGCAATTGTGTGTTAATTTGTGTAGGCTACCTATCTGATGACTAAGTCATAGACACTTAATTGCAGCAATACTTGAGAAGTGTTCTGCTTCCTGACCCTTAGTAAATGTGGTCCATTCACAGGAATGGATTTAGCACAAAACATCATGCTGATTTGTCTTCTGTTTACAGAAAAGTAATGTGGTAAGGATAGATTTTCTGTGAGAGATGATAATTTTACAGGATGGGTAAATGTAAATCAGAATCTGAATAACCTTTCAGAGTAATAAATGTAATTTCATGGCAGGCAAATATCCATTGAAATGGATTTATGGCAGGTTAGGTGTTTTCACAAGCATTTTTTTAGACTGGATCATCTGGTTAAAGTTCAGTTCAGGTTTTATATAAATTTAAAGGCTTATCTGGTTGAATTAAATGCCACCGTGCAGTGGCATCATCATCAGTTGGAATAATGATGTATCTGCTCACCATACCACCCTGCTGACTTTGGAATATTTTGAGCACAATCCCATTATTTTTCGTGTTCAAAAATATTGTTCAGTAGCAATGTAAATACTGTAATGATGTAAAGGCTCAAAGTCTGAACACTCCAGGGAGTACAGCTGGGTTCAACAGCCACTGATAGAAGCAGCAATGTAATAATGTATGAGTCATGCATTTATATTGGAGAGTGTGATGGTGAGGGCAGCTTTAGCCTTGAGGGAGGAGTATATATGGGTAAAAGGCAGACAGTGTGAGGGCATAACCTTGGAATGATCTTGAAATCATAACACTGCATCCGACATTGCTAGATATGAATAAACTACACAGGAATATTGATGAAAATGTTTATTTGCTCAAAAATGATTAGTCAAAAGATGATGTAAGCGTGGATTTACATGAAAACAAACTCAGGAGGGATCATGAGACAGGCAACCACACTTTGAGAGGGATGTTGTGTTGACGTGTGAGGGAGTTATGCGTATCTGATTTTGGTATGATCAGGGATACCATTGGTAGGTGAAAAGAGAGAGAGCTACATAGGAAGACAAAGGAGAAGGAGGAAACGATGGGGGCAGGTGGTCTTCAGGAAATCACATTTTCTATTTTGGGCCTCACTGTGTGTGCGTGTGTGTGCTTTGTTGTGTCTCCTCTCAGCAAGCTCCCTCTCCTGGCTTTGAGAATACGGCTGCTAACAGTTTCCAAAGAAGCTGTGTTGGCGTACTGCTGGCACACTCTACACTCTGCTCACTAAGCTCTTGGCTAAAACATGTGATAATTTCCCTCTAAGGGTGAATTATTTCCTAAAATGATTATATGAACCATAGTTTGTCCATTTTGGTCTCTAAGAAAAACAATACTGTGCTTTAACCATAACATACCCTGGAAGGGTAAATTATTCTTTTGACAGAAACATTCAGCTTCCCACTTCACTGACTGATATCCATTCTGGGGTGATGTTTAGCACCTCCCCAGTTTTCTACTGTTGACCCACAAGGCGGCACCACTTCAGCCGTTTAAGGTCGAGTGGACCATTTAAGTGTACCTTGATAGTTGTTGAGGGAGGATAGAGTGGTCTCCAAGCTCAAAACCTTTCTCTCTGGTTCATATAATTCTCCATCTTGCAGTATATCACTTGTGAGTCAGTGTAATGCCTCAGTTGCTCTCATATTGCCCCTGAATATAACATCTCCCATTTGACCTCACCCATTATGCTTCATCTGTCTCTCTTCCCATTTTCCACTTTAATTCACAGCCAGTCTCTGGTTAAAAGAAAGAAAGAAAAAAAAAGTCAACACAATGACAATAAAACAGTGAAAGGAAGAAAATGCATGGACTGAAACGTTTAACCACAGTGTGTCCATAGTAAGGTGAGCTAAAAAAGCATGGTGTCACTAGCAAGTAGGAAAATAGTATTGCTATTGTTGCAGTGCCCCTTCATTTGTTTGCCATGCTCTGTGGACATAAATTAATTGTTCTCTCAAGTGGATGCCTCACATCCCCATTATCTCATTCAAGAAGTAAAATGGTATCACAGCTGTTAGGAATGATGAACAAGAGTGGAAAATTAAAACCTAGGTTGTTTTTTTCCAGTTGTGTCTTAGCTATTTACTGTTTATAGTTACAAAACTCCTATAATCTTCCTGTTGTGAAGAACACTGCAAAGTGTTTTTAATGGATCTGTAGGACCTTAACTGTAAATACAACCCTACTGTGGCCTGTTTTTTACTGTTTAGAAATCTTACCCCTACTTTCTCCCTGTCAGTGGTCGGTGTACATCCGGGCTGCTGTCCGCAAGGAGAAAGGCCTTCCCATCCTGGTGGAGTTACTGAGGATAGACAACGACAAAGTGGTGTGTGCCGTGGCTACCGCTCTCAGAAATATGGCCCTGGACATAAGAAACAAGGAGCTAATTGGTGAGTACTAATAAAGGCTTTTTCAAGGGCTTATATTTGGTGGTGAATTATCCCCCCACTTGTAAGACAAAGTCACTGAATGGATCGTTGGCATTTTTAATCTTTATCAAGTCACGTGAATTTAGACCCCCCTGCACTGTTATGTTCAATTGCCATGTTTGTAAAGAGCAACATGAAGCACGTTTTCAGCTGTAATTCTATTGTCTCATAGCTATTTTACTGTGGTCTGTCTCTCCTGTTGTTCTCATTTCGAGTATGCAAGTCAAGCACTTGTGTTCAAGTGATGTAACACTAGGGTAAAGAGCCTGTAGCCAGTTGCATCAATTAGAAATGATTTAACACAAATGTTAACCTGTAGTCACCTCTGCCTTTCAGCAGTAACATAGTATAATGGCTTATTGGCTTGGTCCATGGTAACCAAGTGAAGAACTGATGTGTGATTTTGACTTATTAATTTGTTTGAGACAATCAATTGTAACAACAAACTATCAATTCTACATAATGAGATGAAATTTTAAGTAAGGCTTTACATGTGGGAACGGGATCTAAAATGTTAGCTCTAAAGTTGTCATACATTTTTACACGATGATGGTGAAAGCCTGAAGAACGGTTTGGTCGATACAGTTTGGTTTTCTTTTTCTATCATTTTACATAATAACTTATCTAACTTAGGCCAAGGTGCGTCTGGTGGTGTGTGAAAGAATTAGGCTCAAATTGTTATTAATATGTATTTGAGAAAGAAAGACTGAAGAAGGAGGAGAGTGTAGGTGAGAGATACTGTAGCAGAATGATGATCACTTCAAAGGTTTGCATGGGGCTTTGAAAAGTACGTTGTGGTAATGAGTGAGCCTCAGTCAGGCTTACTGACTGGTAGCATCACCAAATCTAGGGACTAGGGATCACTAGTTAACCTGACATATTGAGAGACTTTTACAGTCTGTGTGTATGCGTGCGTGTGTGTGTGTGTGTGTGTGTGTGTGTGTATGTGTGTGTGTGTGTGTGTGTGTGTGTGTGTGTGTGTGTGTGTGTGTGTGTGATGAGTGTTTCTTTCTCTGTCTACGAATATAATTATGTGTGTGATGCTCTTTCTCTGTGGCCATATCTGTATAAACACACCACCCATGTACTGATATACAGTAATTGTATATTTATGTGTGTACTGTATGAAGACATTTGACATCAGCCTTCTATCTCTGGTATAGCTGATTACCTCAGCTTCCAGGTTGGCTCAGTGGTTTCTATAGCAACCCTACTACCCTCAGTCTCAGGCGAGGGGCTTCTGGAACCTCTCTGGGTTTTTCCCAGAGTGTTGAAAGAATGACAAGGAATGCTGCCGGCAAACATACTGTGATGGTCTGGCTGGCACATGGCAGCAGATTCCAGGATAATTGAAGCATTTGCACAGACAAAAAATCTTATCAGTCTGATTTAAATGGTTTTTCTTCATGTGTGTTTTTTGTTTTGTTTTGTTCTTTTCTGAAACACTCCTGCAGATGTATCAGCATATCAATAAATATAAAGTTAGGTGGTGTAGAAAGAGAGCTTATACTCTTGATTAATGAGATTTAGAGCATGTCTGCATAAAAATGTGGGTAACCTTTAAGGAGGCTATTTGTAAGTTTTCTCAGCCACAGAACGTGGGCCAGGAGCGGGTGGCGCTTAACAAGAGCTTCGGCCATCGTCTATATAGAACAAAGGATTATAATTTGCCCTCTAAACAGTGCTACATCTTCAGGGCAGATTGGAGGCTACAGTGAGTTACTATAAGAACGTGACAAGATAGTTAGCATGCTAACTTCAGTAGAGGAAAAGAGGTGATAGAGACAAGAGTTTACATTGGTGTTGCTTTCCACCTCTACAGACAGCTCTTGGTGAGTAAAGGAATGAAGGGTGATGCTGAACTGTCTTTCTTTAAACTGGTAAGTAAACAGCTGTTAATGCTAGTGGCTATGTAGCACTAACAAAATTTACAAATAGCCCTTTAACCCTTCAAAAATTGTTCAGCTTACCGTCCAAATCTTTAGTCCCTGTGACAATATACATGATGATAAAATGCAACAAGGAATCATTTAATTACACTTGAATAATAATGGTTACTATAAGATTTGTTGTTGTTGTTTTCTAATCTAATTGATACTAAACAACTGGCAAACACTGATCCATATCAACTCTCGCAAAATTGTTACTGCGGTGTGTTTCCCCTGCCACCAATTTAGTAATGTTATTGGTTTTAATAGAATAATGTAGTAGTCCAAGGTCAGGTTCAGATGTCTTTACATTAAGTTTGATGGAGCCATTTGCTCTTACATTGTTCAAATAATTGTTTCATTTGAATAAAATTGAAGAGAAAAACAGTCCATATACTGACACAATTTAATTAATTCCTCCATTTAACCTTTTAAAATGAGAACACTGCATGTTTTTGCTCTGGAAATCATTAACATGGTCTCTAATTGATTAAAATATTAGTGGTAATTGGTACATTTTTACTTTTAGTCTTTTATAACCATTAGCTTCCTAAGCAGAGAAAGCTAAAGAGGAAAGTTTTGGAGAGAAAGGTAGAGACTGTAATGAATGTATGTGTCGTAGAGAGAAAGGCAAAAGGCTGACTGAATAATGTAATTACTTGTAAATTCACTGGGAAAATTAATTCAAATTTATTTGGCATTTTCATTTGAATACACACTTGACTTTTTCAGTTGCAGAATAACATGGTTTAAGTCCTGCTTATGATTAGCTCTCCCAAAATAATTCCTTAGATACTTAAGATACAGACAATGAAATCACAACAGGGTGATAGAGACACACAAGAAAATTCCTGAAGAAATTTTAAGTCTGCCTGCTGCTTGGTGCGTGTATTTCACTCCTCATGTTTAATCTGTGCAAAGGACATTACTTTCAATTTCATTCATGTCATAGAGACTTATCCTGACACTAACCTCAGTCACTGGACGTGTCCCTCGAAAGTCAATTGTAGCTGTCACGACTGGCCAAAATAACCTCACACTGATGGTTTCAAGCCCATGGCATTGTGATATGGCATGTCTCTGTAAATGTCCATGCTTCTGTGTTTGGGTTTTGTACAACAGAGCCAAAAATTCCCTTTTACCATGTTGAGACTTTTATTTTGTAGGTTAATCCAAATCTCCAAATCATGGAGAGGGTGTTTGTGTGTTTCTGCCCATATATATATATATATATATATATATATATATGTGTGTGTGTGTGTGTGTGTGTGTGTGTGTGTGTGTTGTGGTGTGTGTGTGTGTGTGCACGTGTGTGTGTGTGTGTTGTGTGTAGCAGTAGAGCTGCCCAACAGAACCCCCAGTAGCTTTTTTTTGCCTGGTTGAGACCCTTATTGTGAAAGTGAATATGAACATTGTGTGTGTCTGTCAATGTGCGTGTTTGTATTGTTGTGTGTGGCAATAGAGCTGTACTATAGAGCCTCCAAAAACCAGCTTTGTCCATTTCTCCCTACTATGTTAGTAGTGTGTGTGTGTGTGTGTGTGTGTGTGTGTGTGTGTGTAGCTGTGTTTATAAACATCACAGAGATCAAAGAGTCTCATAAAGAGCTGTTTCGAACAATTGTGTCTAGCTGGAAGACACAGAGTTGACACAGCTGAGTGAGATTTTGGCTCGGCAAGCCTCTCAAACAACTGCTATTTCTGAAAAAATGATAACTCCTATCAGAACCATGAGGGGACCATGAGCGGCACACATAAACTGTATATAAAAATGGACATGGTCTGGAAAATGAAGCCAATGCAGAAGTGCCTTAAACTTTTATTCTATCGAATGACCATAAGGGTGCAACTCCACTGGTTGCAAAAAGAAGTCTGATTGTATTAAAATTAAAGTCTATGGGAAAATGGGCCTACTTCTCACTTGATTTATTACCTCAGTAAATGTTTTCGTTATGTGTTTATGGTCTGAACTGCTAGTTTGAAGTTTCTTCAATACATCATGATGTTCATGTTTCAAATTATGGTCCTATTTAAAAGAAAATAGACAATAAAGTAGAGTGGTGATTGACACACAGGGTGACCTGCCTATTAATCCAGATTGAGGCCAGAGCGATGTGTAGGACATTTGACACACACACGCACACACACATACTACTAATCTAGTAGGGAGAAATGGAAAAAGCTGATTCTTATTGACTAATTAGATTCATTAACTCTTACCGTTATTACTCTCAAGTATGAGAGCACCTATAAGGCAAATCAGCACTGTGACTTTCTATGACCTTTGAGGACAATTTTGTTTAGAACCCATTTTTGTACACATATATGTACACACATATATTGACAGACACACAAACCATCTCCACCTTTGGATATTCACCTTATAAAAAATCATCATTTTGGCATCAAATTTTTCAAAGCACTGTACTTTGGTTAATATGAGCTGCTTTTTCAACCATTTTAGCATTGTGGTGAGGTGATCTTTTCAATAGGACTAGATAGGAATAGATAGTAGTTTTCCCTCTGATATCCCATTTTCGAACACAAGTTTCATCTTAAAAGCTGTCTGCCTAGGGAGACAGGGGGGATCGTATTTCCCTCCTCCCCCTGGTGGCCACAGTCGCCAGTGGCAACCAGTGACTCAGCAGGTGTTACTGGACAGAAATGGGCAAAGCTGTTTCTGATTGGCTAATTAGACTCATTAATTCTTAGCCTTTTAACTCAGGTATGAGAGCAACTCTAAGATAAATAATTTAGGTCATCAGGTATTTGCGTGTACTTGTGTGTGCGTGTTGATGTATGGTTCTTTGCCAGTGCGTACATGTTTTTCTATAATTGTGAAGGCAATTTTGGTTAAAAACCATTATTGTGAGGTCGTTTTGGCTGGTCCTGACAACTTCAAAGGGCTGTTTGAAGGTTAAGCTTATACAGTTCCCAACACCACATACACACATACATTGAAAGACACACAAACACCATCACCACCTTATAGATATTAACTGCACGCCACACACAACAATACACACATGCACATCG